ATAAACAGTAATATCACATTAAGTGTGCCAAGGTAAACAAATATCACTACCCTTGAGTGCACCCCTGTAATAAATGAGAGAAATATGACATTATTATAATACAAGTGCCTCCAAAAAGTCAGACACACTGGGATTAGGAATCAAAACAAGTAGATCAATCCAGTGTTTGATAACTTTATTTGAACGTGTTAGAGAGCTCTACAAATGACTTCTAAGCTGGGTGGTGATTGCGGATCAGTGTTGTGTTGAAGACTTCAGCACTTTGCTGGTAGTTTAAATATCCTTTAACATCTACAAAATGCATATGACACTTCTTGATGAGACAGACACTGGTTTTGAGATTACAGCCATGCACTGTGACTTTCACATGTCATCAATTGTCAAAATAGACTATAATGCAATAAAGCATGCCAAAAATTTCTGATGGGACAGATACTGATCAAAGGATTGCACCAGAGCACCGTACAGAAGTTTTGGCAAGTTTTCCAACAGAACTAAACAGAATATGCTTAAGTGAATGCGTATATATATAATCCAAGTTAATGCACATACTAAAAAACCGAACAGAAATGAAGGACTCCTTGGAAACACATACAAATATTCAATGTTCAGAACCATCGAATATATTCAGCTCATTACAGTCTGGAGGCACAGATAAATACAAGCACAGCTCTGAAAGGACTCATAAGTCACATGAGGTACTTTTTGCATTTCTTCTACACAAAGTGCAGTACCATACTAGTGCACCTTCATTCATTCTGTGCATACATGTGGTGATCTTCTCTTCCCACAACCGTGTCATCATGCAGCTGATTTCAAATCAGGTGCTTCTCACAAGGTTTTCAGTTATCTGTCCAGCTGTAAACAGAACGCGCGTTATGTTATAGTAAACTGTAAAATGACGGAGAAGCGCCATTGTATGCCAATAGCTAGGAGTATCAGAATGAACTACAAATTAAGAATGTGTGTGTTAGAATGCCTCCAAACAACGTATGTGCTACTGAGCGTGGCACAGAAGCAGAAGAAGCGAGAAGTGAAATAGCAGGCAATACCAGCAGCACTTAATCATGCAACTTTCTTTTTCGATCACCACAGCAACGCACGCTCTTGTACGTGAATGGAAATGAGACCGCTGACAGCCCAATGTGTCAGCGTCGCTGGTACCCGACACGAAGTCGCATCTCACTGCTACCAACCAGCGCACGCTTGTTATTAGCTTGGCAACACACGAAAACGATTAGCACCGAAGCCAGCGAATGTTTCCGCGTCATACAATTCGCGAATACACTTATATAAGTACGTACGTTTTCACATCACGGAAATGTGTTGGCTAGTGCGAGGTTCGCTTTCAGCGATGATGAATACTGATGTTGAAAACAAACACAAACACAGTGCAGATAAAAACTCCTCCGTATGACCTACGCGATATTTCGGTCGTCGTATATGGTGTCTATGTTGCGACGGAAACTACCGTAGAGTTTTTTCAGCCGATGTGCCTCGCATGTGCTGGTTCATACGAACTAGATGGTAGAGGCCTGCGCTGGATGCAGATGACACCGATCTGAATTGCCTCCGCGGTAGGCGAGGGCTCACGCTCAAACCTTCGAACCTCCGAAGTCTGTTCACACTCGTTTTTAGCACAGAAAGTCACAGATCAAATCACAAGAACACCGACATGCTCCTTTCGCTCGGCCGACGATCGCACACGGGACCGGCGCTAGCATAGCCGGCCGGCATTCGCTGGATTTGTCGGCGTCGCTCGAACTCGGCACAAAACCGCGTCACGCTGGTAGCACTCGCAGTCGTTCGTCGTTTCGTTGTCGTTCTAGATTACGAAGCGGTCAATCAGGAACGTTTGGAGTAGTTTTCATGCTTGCTTTCAGCACACGGCTGTGCCTTCGAAGCGGCGGCCATTAGGCACAGCATTCGGAGTCATCGCGGCCTCTGGTTGGTTGGCGCGCCGCCTCTGGTTGGTTGGCGCCGCTGTACGCGTGGTGACGTAGCGTACGAGAGGCGAAATATCAAGCCCGGCTTGATCCCTCGCGCCTGCTCGCGTATGCCCCTCCGAAGCCGACGCCGAGAGGCGCATTTGACGCTTTTGACGCGTAGACGCGAGCATACGCGTGCCAGTGGTTGGCACTTAAGGCAAAAAACAAACAAACAAGAGAAAGTATGTGAATCCTGGAAAGCTATACGTCGAAACAGCAATATTTCTTAAGTACTGTCGATGAAATTTGAGCACATGTTTGAAGGGGCCCTGCAACACTTTTGGAGCATGGTCAGAAAATGCTGCCGGTCGGTGGTAGAGGCTCCCAACGACACACTAGCCAAATATTATAGCACAGCACGTGGCCTAAAATTCACAATACATTATCAAAATCCGCTAATTGCTTTCTCTTCTCTCGACAAATCACGCAATATACCCAAAAAATCACCCGTAGCAAGCCCATCTATCAGCCATCGGCGGTTTTGAACATAGCACGCTCACTCCTTAGGGAGATCACCGCGGGAGGCCGCTACTTGTCTACGCGTGCGCCAGCGATCACACTGAGAAAGCCGCGCATTCGTAGGAAAATAAAATAAAAAAGAGCTCAAGGTCACGGGGCTTGCGTGACGTTTTTCTGTGGCCCCGCCTTCCTTCCCTTCTCAGCATTCAGCACTTTCGTCGGGACGAGAGAAGAGAGAATGCGATTGCAGCTTGTGACAAATCTTTGTAACTCCTCTCGTACTGAACGGATTCTTAAATTTTTTCCGATTTAAAACGGTGAGGTAATAAGCTCTTCCAGTGAATTCATTCCATTGTTACTTAAAAATGTGTTTGAGGGCCCCGTTAACGACCACCTTAATCACATGTACGCTCCTTATTATTGTAGAAAATAAAGCCCCTGATTGAAACGACGAATACCAGAGGCAAACAAACACTAAGAAGCGACACTTTCTATTGAACATAAAGTTATGAAATATAAAGCCAGCACGTACCGGAGATGTGACTGTGATTAAAAATAATGAATGAGGTTTTACCGAAAAAAAAAAACACAACACGATTACGAGGTATGCTGTAGTGTAACAACTTAGAATTTCCGACTACGTGGCGTTCTGTAACACGCGCTGACATCCCATGGCACGGGAACCTCTAGCATTTCACCTCCACCGAAACGCAACCGCCGTGGCCACGATCAAATCCGCAACCTCCTGGTCAGCATCCGCCAAACGGGTGGTTACAGGGACAATGTGTTGGCGCCTTTTTCTCCCTGTTTCTGTTTTGTCTGGCGCTAAAGTATAAACCATTGACTTCATGCTACCTCACTCAAATTTTCAATTAGCGCAAGCACATGGCTATTGCATTGGTTATGCTTGGAGGTTGTCCCCGTTGAATTGGAGTTACCGTGGGAAAAATGTAAACTCCCGTTCTCAATGTTCTTTCAATAGATTTCCTTACATTAGGTTATACATGACGAACAAGGGCATCGCCAGTATTTTCAGGGGCGAATCTCGTTAGAGTGTGTGTAAGTCTCGTATCACGTCGTAGCCACCCGCTAGTAGTCGGAGTGCTCACTAGATGGCGTTGCGGCGCTCGCTCCTCTAGTACTCTAATTGCTCAACAGATGGGGCAGAGAGCACACGTTTCACTCCATAGAGTTAATATAGAGACTCCAGAGGCAAAGCTGGGCCGGTAAGGCCATAAGCACCAAAGCGCTGACATCTTGAAACGTTGCCATTATTGCCATTACAATACTTCAAAACAGCGCTAAATATATCATTCAAAGACACACATTCTCGCATACATATCGTAAACACTATGTTACACGTATTGTAGACAAACTGAAGTCGTGTGATGTTTATATCAGCTACTTTTACACAAGATAAAGTAATAACGTATGCAATTTGCTGCACGCAAAAAAAAAAAAAACTGTTTTCAGATTTGTTTGCTAGATTGGGCCACCATTCTTGTACGGTATCAACTTTTGTGAGCGGGGCAGTGCGGCGGGCGTGCGGCCGATTCCGCCGGCTTGCTTGCACCTCGTCGTCTGAGTTTTTTGTTGCCATTAACCAACAACTCGACTTTATGTGTCCGTCTCCTAATGCGATGCAACAGAGATCAACGAAACAAAAAAAAAATTCAAGGTTTATTTCAGCATGCAGAGGTAAGTGCGAGCGTACATCACCCGAAAGCCGAGTATCATTTTATTATGGAGGTACCTGATTTGTTATAGGTTTTAATGCACCGCCCTATGGGCAGCTTTTCCTCTAGAGTCTGCATATTAACTTTGTTTCACACCGCTGCGTTTGAGACGTGTGCTCTAGTGTGATAGGAGACCACTAGATGGTGCATTTGTGCTCGAATCTCATTGCGTGGAGATTCGTCGCTCTCGTTTCATCGGAGCGCCTCACTTCTACTCCCCGGCGCTCGCTTCGATGCGAACTGTCATTGAGGAAGAAGCGGCTGCAAACGGACGCGGCGCGGGCGCGGGATGCTGCAGCCAAGCGCCTTAAGTCATCGCTGGAAAAATTGATATGGCTGTACCCTTTAGATCGGGTGGTGGCTACCGCCACCAAGCCGTAATAATTAGTGAACCAAGAACTAAATTTCTTTTTATTTATTTTAAATATTGAGGTTGAGGACTCGTACTTTCCAATGAAGGGTTTAATTTTCACTTGTGCCTTGAATTTAGCCACCAATCAGATAACCTCATTCTATATAATTCTACCAGCTTAAAGTCTATTTTGCCCTCACTGTCCCTAAACACCAGTGCTTTGAAAAACATCTGGGCCATCATCCTGAACTATAGGGTGAAGCCCTTTACAGAACATTATCATGTGTTCGACAGTTTCCTCCTCCTCTCCACACGCACTGCCTGCCGTGTCTACCCTTTCGTATTTGGCCCGACAAGTCTCGATTCGCAATACTCCCGTCCTGGCCTCAAGCAGTAGAGAACTACCCTGAGTATTATCATAGATCCTTTCCTGGGCAATTTTCTGCTTAAAAGTTTGATAGATCTCTAGTGCGGACTTCTACCCGAGGTCGTGGCACTGGCGCCGATGCGCGCTTCAAGCATAGGGGCTTTGGCCACTGCAGTTTTGGCCACTGCTGCAAGGTTTTTAACCACGAAGCAGCTTTAATGACGGGAGAACGGAAACCGCGTTTCACTACCATATACGCATAATAAAACATTTTGTTGTGTATATACCACGTTGGTCACGTCTTTATATGCAGATCAAGAGGGCAAATTGTATGAAGGATACACGGTTTACTGATGTAACTCAGGAGCTTCGCCCCACTATCCCCATTCACTCCGTGGATATGCTGTGATTATTGGCAAGGTAAAGGCGTTTCATTCGTATTCAATATATCATCACGCGTGCGTTTTTATGCGTGCATGTATATATATACGCATGCGCAGGACTGTTTGCGGAAAAGCGAGCGCCCCCTGTCGTGTAAACAGGAAAGCTTCACTCGTGCTTTTGGTTGGAAAACACCTTCGCCCACTAACATGCTCGAGGCAATGTGCAGATGTTCAGATGCACCCGTTCTGCTGCTTTAGGGACAAAAACGCGTGCGAAATATTGAGAGAACCCGGTAAAGGAGAAAAAAGAACATCCCGTTAACGTTTATATGAACGGTGTAAAACAAGGATTTCTCGTGTTTCTGCCTGAGCAAAAAGCAAGTGAGGTGATAGCCGCACACCGCTACATCGACTGTTCGCCAGGCTCATCACCTGTTCCTTCAAGGAAGAACATTATGTTATACACTTGAAGGTGACCCTTGAAACGTCTGATAATAAACTATAGGACCCGGAAAGGTGACTTGCGCACCGTTTGTGAGATGCAGTGTTTGCGTGAAAACGGCAGTGTGTGCAGCTACTACAGGTCACGCCGTTGGAGCGCACAGCGAATACGTTACCGGTAAAGATACTTTTACATATATAGATAAAGCATATACTACAGGCGTGTCTAGTACACACATATATAGGTGCACATAGTTAAAATCGCCAAAGTGTCAAATGACGATGTAAATCAATATGCAATTTCCTATTACACTACATTTAATCTCTTCACGTAACACAATTTTCTCCTGCTATTCATAAAAAAACGACAAACGCAGCTGCCACTATTGCAAATAATAAATTACGCGTGCTTCAATCCTTGTATCAATCAAGATTGGCACAGATACGTGAGAGTGCATCCTCGCGTATTGACGGCAGTATTGTGCGGTCTATTAGAAATGCTGATACACGGGAGACTCGTGTGCTGCCGTGGTACACAAAATAAATGCGAGAATGTGATGTTCGGTCGGCGCTGGTTCGGTACCAGGGGCGATCGAGCCGCGTGTGCCACATTACTCTCTTTCAATAAAGGCTCCTCCTCCGCCAACATTTCGCATACCGTTATGCGAACATCTTTTTTCAGCACGTAGCCTCGCGGAGGAAAGCCTGTTAATGTTAGCACTCATTTCACGGTTTAGTTGCGAGAAAGACCACCGAAAACTCAAAAGAACGAGGATGAAGGCACAATCAATAACACACAGCCCCCAGGAGTTTTTGCAGGTTTTTCTCGTAGGTAAACATGAATTATCAGGCCCAGTTCTTCACGCTTCTGTCTCGGTAAAATAATTCTCACAGTGTGCTGGCATATTTGGCCTACGAAAGCAAGGCTGCTCAAACACGACACACGAATGTATGACCGGTGGCTGGAGAAGCTCATGTTTTCCAACCAAAACCAAAACGCCTGTAGAGGGCGCTACCTGTGCCGTTACTGCTCATGTGCAGTAGTTGTCCCGCAAATGGTCAATTGAAAAATTTCGACGAAGTGGGAGGTTTGAACTTCCCAACCCCGTTGCTTGGCTACTCGTCACCATGCAGTCATCTTCAATGTAGCCCCACGACACTGACCATTATAAATCGTTACATTTACCTTGGTTGACGACGTCCTCAACGACGCAGGCGGCTGCCGCACTGCATTTTTCGCTGATCTGGGCCGCCCTGCTCCACTTCCGGGAGGTGATGTCGTACTTTTCCACATTCTGTACAACGGCCGTTCCTGTTAAAGAGATATGCAAGTATGTTTATCAGTTTTAACTAACATCAGACACCTATCCTTGTAGTCAGCGAGTTGAAGTTATGCGTGGTAAGTTCGAAAAATTTATCACACAATGAAACTCTATGGCTCCCGTAGCGCGGGAAAAATGTACGCCGAAAAACCAATGGTCTTTTATAGGTGTATCGGAATTCGTACTTTTGCCGAACACTTCCCGCCATCGATATGGTTGTGGGTTTCCGGTAACGCAATGAGCACCAAATGTGATGACATTGAACAAGGCGGAATTTGCTAGAGACAAGCACAATTGTACCTATTGCTGTACATTACAGGCAACTCTTAGTATTTTGTTTACTTCGTCTCAACGAGAGTGTGACTCAGAATTTTCTGGATGTTTTTTGTTGCATAAGTTGGCTGAAGATGCCGTAACCAGTGCCCTTGTGTCATCAAGTGCTTTGGTAACATATGAATCTTTAACATTATGGATAAAGTGGCGCCGTTAAGGTGGTAGGTCACCTTCAATAGTCATTTATTTTTCGCGAAATAAATTTTTAGGGTTTTGTTTTTCTTGCACGCCCAAACATTCACATTTATGTTGCAACAAAAATTATCCTCCAAGCGTCATTAGTTTGCAAGTTACAGCAAGCTTTCTATACCCTATACTACCGTAGCAAAACCGAAACCACATTTCCAACTGTGGTTTCGGTTTCGAAAAATTGCTCTCAAAAGCAAGTGTCGTTTTGTCTATAATAATGCTATGCGAAATACTTTATGCATTTTATTGCGACTGTTGTATAAGATGATGTCATTAAATACAACTTTGTGTTTAAAAGTCTTTGTCAATCTCTAACAACAGCCACAAGGGGAACGCGCGATGCTCGTCGGATTTTTTGTTGTGGCTACGTCAGGCTTCGTTCTGCATTTGTTCCACATGTCAACGCTACTAGGGCTTTATCCTTAGGCCACCTGGACCATATTACGACCAGTATGGGGAAGTGCAGAACACAGAAGACGAGGAAGCGCAAGTTTGCTGGAAATCTCTACACGACGATGAGGCTGCCTACTGACACAGACGCCGGTATTTCGGCGACCGCAAAGAAGCTTCGGGACACAAACAAGGCGTACCAAGCTCCCCTAGAGAATTCTGCGCTCCAAGGGAACAAGATAATTGACACTGGTATTCTTTCTTCAGTGTTTTCATCGCTGGCATGTTCCGAACGCATGAACACTGAAGCTCGAGGAACGCTCTCACCAAGGGATATGCTCGGCTTGTGCGGTCGTCTGTACCGACAGTGGATTCAAGCGCCCATTTCATACGTAGATAGGTGGGTCGTGCCAACGAGAACAATTTACGTCTGGTTTACGCGATGCGCCAGTTAGGAAAAGGGCACGCTGGTGCGAAAACGTTTTCCAAAGTGATGAACATGCCTGCTCCTCCACGTCACTCCGCCTACGACAAATTGCCATCTCGGCTTTCTGCAGCCGCAGGAGAAGTGGCGTCGAAGTCGATGTCTGATGCTGCTGCGGAAGTTCGTCGTGTTGTGGGGAGCGCCGAGTGTGGTGTTTCAGGTGATGGCACGTGGAAGAAGCGTGGTCATTAATCTTTGAATGGTTGTGTATCTTTGGTTTCTGTTGACACGGGAAAGGTTATTGATGTTGAGGCCCTTTGTAGTTCGTGTATGTCTTGTAGAACCAAAAGCAAGTTGAGGCAAGATAGTGCTTCGTACCAGGAATGGAAGGCAAACCACACTTCCTATCAAGCAAACCATGAAGGAAGTGCTGGCAGTATGGAGACGGTTGGTCTATACCCAATATTTGAAAGGTCGAAAGGCAAAAGAGATTTGAAGTACCTGCAGTACTACGATGATGGTGATTCCAAGTGCTATGCCACTGTCAAAGACATGTATGGAAAGGACAGTGTGCAGAAACTGGAATGTATTGGTCACGCCCAGAAGCGTGTTGGCTGCCGCCTTAGAAAACTGAAGAAGACAGTGCGTGGACTCGGTGGTAAGGGAAAGCTCATTGTTGCCCTCACTGACCGCCTGCAAAACTACTATGGCATCGCCATAAGGGCTAATGTGGGCAACCTTTCTGCAATGAAAAAGGCTACCCTTGCCAGTCGTTTTCATTGCAGTTCTACCGACAAGCAGCCGAGACATGGCCTGTGACCACTTGGACCGAAAAGCTGGTGCGGATACCAAAGGGTCGAAGTACTCGGCCAAGGGAAATATGTACACAAAGGAGGACTTCCAAACAATGTGCTCAACAAAGTTAAAGCTGTCTACAGTGATCTTTGCTCTGATGAACTTCTAATGAAGTGCCTTCATGGAAATACTCAAAATGCTAATCAGTGTTTCAATGGTCTAATATGGCAGTGGGCACCCAAAGAGGTCTACGTAAGCTTGCCTACAGCAAAGTTTGCCTTGCATGATGCTGTGGCACACTTGATTAATGGCAGTGTAATTACCCTAGATATCCTGAGGCAAGCTGGCATAGAACCAGGGTACCACACGACGAAAGCTTGCATCGCCAGGGATCACCTGCGCATGCAGAATGCTAAACGCAAGTCAGCGGATGGGACAAAACAAGCCAGAAAGAAAAGACGAGCAGCCACCTGAACAAAAGGAGACAATAATACTTCCGCAGAAGGGCGCAGCTATGAATCTGGTGTATTTTAGGCCTGCATGCGAAGATTGTGACCCTTTTCACAAGCTCGGAAATCTTTTTTTACGTTTTTCTGAAAATAACAATTTGCTCCAAATGTTGCGACGCAAACTTTCATAACGTATTTCTTACCGTATACTTTGAACTGAAATTTTGCACAATGATTTACAACATATATATCTGTGCATTGAACTAGAATAAAAGAAATCCATTGAATATTTTTCAGTTCACAGCTGAATTATTCAACAGGTTCAGACTAAATTGGCTCTTTTTCCCCGTTTTTTGGTTTTCTCGCATTACTTCCTTGATAATCACTGCATAATATTTATTCTAGTTCATTGCATAGCTCCAGCCATTAGTTACACAAATGTCAAAGCTTTGCTGAATAAAGCCACCCATTAGTCACTTATCACAGCTGGCGTGGCTAGCACTCTTAATGCAATGTTTGACAAAGATTACCTCCGAATAAATAAATATTCAATATTTTGCACTGTAAATAGCTGAGTGAATTAAATAAGACATGCTGGTTTTGAGGAAAAAAGTTATTTCAACGCTGCCTGCCCTTAAAAAAATTTTGTTTTTGAGTGGCCTACTACTTTAAGGCGAAATTGCCTTATAGTGGAATCCAATATGATTTTACTTACACTAATTCCGTCCCGAACGCATGATGCCAATGAACTTCACAGGGACCGATTACCAAGAAAAAAAACCTCCCAAAATTAGGATACTACCTTTGCAAATTCTGAGCCGTGCTTCGCGTTGGGGAATCAACCATAGAGTTTCCTAATATACACTAGTGGGACCTCTGGCGCTAGTGTCTATGGGAGCTGCAACGCACGGCGCTTAAGCGAGCATGGAAATGATGGGTAGTACACAAATTTGTCTCATTTTCGTACTTCTGGCCTGCTTCTTGCTCCATGTGTGTTCGTGTGGCTTGGAGCTGTTTTTTTTTTGCGAAAAAAAGGAAATGTTCATCGTTTTCGCTTCACAGCCTCATTATTTCAGGCATATAATTTTGAATTCGGTCACGAAGTTCAAAAGGATTCGTTCTTTCCTTCAAAACAAAACCGTAGCCAGCAATAAACGAAGCCGCAAGCACGATTCGCCACCCGCATGTACGAAGACTAGGCAAATGTGTGTACAAGCCACCATTCCAATAGTCGCTGAATGATCGCAGCGCCAGAGTCCTCTCTAGTTAATTTTAGGAAACTCTGTGGAATTAACGCTAGCCGTGTTTGAAGTATTGGTTATCCACATTTGTTGCAGTGTAGCAGTCCTTACATATTGACGCTGTAACTGTCAGTGCTCGAGTAATACGAACGCTGCTCTGTGCATTGCAGGCATCGCGAACCAAGAGAAACGTTGACGAACCCATTACGACAAGCCAAGGCAGCTGCCATGCGCGCGCCAGCCCTGCATGTGCACGAGGACCTACTACAGGGTCAGCGCGCGTGACAGAGAAAAGACTCGCAGCATATGGACGGAGGGAATGATGATCAGAGGAGTGAAGCGTCCGCCTGGCTGTCTCTCCGTCCTTCTGTCCTTCCATCCATCCGTCCATTACTATCACGCTAAAGCACGCATCGAACGAACGAACACTTCGCCATACTCATTATCCTTCATTCCGTCGATATGCCGTCGTTACGTCGGATGGATCGACAACCAACAGAATTTCGCTCCTAAATAAGTGAGGTAAAGTAAAGGCCAGTAACTCGTAATATATTAAAGACTCCTCTTTCACTCTCTTTCATCCTCATTCGTTGTCTCAAATATGCCGAAGCCGCTCAACTACTACACTATAGCTGAACGCAAGATCAGGAGCTCAAAAACTGGGTTCCAAAACTACAAGATGCAACATAAAGTACAGACGCTGAGCTCATCCTTTATATGCTTTAGGATATGGTCAGAGTCATCATCAGCATGTGTGACGCAAAAATAAATCATCACACGATGCAGCCACGTATAGCGGCATAGGTCACATACTTGTAACGTTATAGACGTCATGTAACGAGACTTCACATAATCGCAGGACATTTTCACTCTGTCAAAGATGGGCTGATTCTCGAGGCATCGCAAGACCATGCGAGGTGCAAAAACTATTCATGAAGCTGTGCCGGTTCAACACAATATACTAAAAATATATGAAGACAATCGCTTTTTCGTGCGAGCCACGTGATGCAAACGGATGAGAGACCACATGAGTTTTTTAGGTACATTTACTCAGAGGCCTTAACCGCGTCATTTTTTTCTATTTAGATCACACGAACGAAAATTGAAGTCAAGAACATAATGTATAGTTCTGTTACTGTCGCTTCTTTGTTACGCATGCATAGAAAAAATAATAGTGGCTTTGAAACAAAGCTTACCGTCGTAGCCGCCTATGGTGTAGATGCAACCTTCTAGTACGACGGCTGCAAAGTTGCTCTTGGCTTGGGGCATGGTGGGCAAATTGGTGAACCGATCTGCCCTCACGTCGTACTGCGTCACTGAAAAATGTGAATGAATGATAATGAGTGAAATACGTGAAAGAACGCTTGACTCCGCATTACAAAATAAAGGCATCATAAAAAGGCAAATTAAATAATAACTGGACTCTTGGGAGGCCTGTTTACAGATGCGATACGTCTCAGGTGACGAAAAAAAGTGTGCTTAAAGCATAACCTGGTCTAGTTGTAATTTCACTCTTAACCTGCTAAGCCTAACCCTGCTACTACAGTTACTTAATATATAATGAGGCGAAACGCGTTGGCAGGTTGTGGAATCGTAATTGTAGCGTTCTAAGTCACAGTAGTTGTGGTTCTTGGCGATGTATACATACATACGTGCACACGGGTAAGGGCTACTCATTCAACTGGAATGTGGGGAACTCTCCACTGACCATATCGTCAACCTTACCACCAACTGCCACAAGAATATACGCTTACGGTATTTCCCTAAAGTATTGTAACTAAGTCGCTTATTTGTGTTTTTAGCTGCTGAGTAAGATATCGCCAAACTTTGCTTTAGAAATAGTCTGGACTGGCGTGCGGAATGTTTTAAAGCACAACGGGTTAGATACGGACAGAGACGTGACACAGCGCTGACCTCACAACCGAAATTTATTTACAGACGTTTTGTAGCGCCGATGCCCCAGGTGACACACTGCTGGAAGGACCTGTGGTACAAGTTGGCCATGCACCAAGGGTAACTTTTCTTGTTCGAATGATGGTCATGCGTAACGGACACATGGGACGTACATCTGTACTTGCAATGCAATCCGTCCCCGTTTTCGAAGGTGCACGGCGTATCTACGCCCGATGCGTTCTTGACTGGCGATGTTGATTGCAGCTGTTTGAAGTAAGATATCCTTCTCTTCGCAGACTCGGGGATGGAGCTTCCAGGTCCGGACCGGAGACGTCACTGGTACGGTTCTACTCGCAGATCCTCCGCTAAACTATCGTCGAAATGAGGAAGGACCTCTTGTTACCTGGCAAAAGTGTTGCGCCGCATTTCCGATGGAGGGCGAAAAGTTGTAGGCCGTGTGCTCAGATTTCGGACGCACGTTAAAGAATCCTCAGGCGGTCGAAATTTCTGGAGCCTTCCACTACGGCATCTCTCATATTCATACAGTGGTATTGGGACGTTAAATCTCACAAATCAATCAATCAATCAATCAATCAATCAATCAATCAATCAATCAATCAATCAATCAATCAATCAATCAATCAATTAATGATTGAATCAATCAACCAATCAAAAGCGTTGCGCCACGTAAGAAAGAGCAATAGATTGATGACTTGTGCACTTGTTATTGAATTTAATGAAAAATGCTTTGGCTATTTCACGCGTGCACTGATTATGTCTGGATGTTTTCTGCAAGTAAGGCACACACCTGCATGACCTACAATGAGCTGCCAAATGAGACGTGAATGCAGCAAGCACCCGATAGTGTCGCTCATGCTCTCGTAAGCGCACGTTTGTGCAACACCCCGTTTGATCTACATATTGACAGACGCAAGACAGTGGAATGGAATAAACCACACCAGTAGCGCAAGGTCCATATCTGTGGACATGACTAGAAGACACATTTGTTTCCTTTCCCTGGCTGCTGGCACAACGTTTTATCCACTAAAGCACACACATTACCACACTAATACGTGCTCAGAACAGCCGTTTAGGCCATAACGAACAGCAGCGTTTTTGAAACCACGCACAGTTCTGTGTATGTATGAGCTAACTACATGCTACTTATTGCTGCTAACTTCATGGGCACTAGACATTTTTTTTGAAACGAAGAAAATCACGTCAATTGGAAAGCCAGAATTTGCAAGGTGAGAAACCCGTGCAATGCATGCGCCATAAGGTGCTCACATGACTTTTGAAGAGTGGCACCGAGCCCAGTGGACGCAATTCCTCTCTTTACGGTTTATTATTGGCCAGAATTAAAATAAAAGATTGGCTTTACGGATCTGGCTGTGATCCCTGACAAACGTAATCCTTGACGAAAGCCCGTCTTAAATTTAGAAACTCTAACTTATCGTTTTTCGGCAGCTCCAAAGTGAATTGCAGTCCCATCCCACATTCCTTAAAAACCTTCACAAAATTCACAACCAGCATAGAGCAAATGTTAGGGTCCAGTAGAAATATGATGTCGTGGTTGTTGATGCACAGCTATCAAATATAGACACATTGATCAGCGCACACGTGAAATGGCTGAAGCATATTTTATTAAATACAATAACGAGTGTATAAGTTATCCATCTATCACTATTTTAGACAGAGTTAACATAACTACCTGTTAGACATGACATAAATCATGTTCTGTGGTAACACACATGCACATGCGCACAATTTCGATGAGTCAGTGTTTCCTATGTATGTTCTTTTCTTTTCCAAAGAAACTTCAGTTGTGAGTTCAGGGCTCTGTGCCTCCTTTGTCTTTATCAAGCCTGTTGCGCTGTAAATTGTATACGATGAACATCCACCAACTTGCCCAACTCGTGATTCTGCTTCGACTATAATTATCAGTGACGAGTAATGTTGCTACGAGGTAACCTGATATATTAGTACTTATTACCGAATGCAAAATGCAAGGTATCTTTAGGTATCCTCTTCTACGACTTAAAAAACGTATGTCTAGAGTCAGGGCCAGATTATCCAGGGCGGAGGGCCCTGTTAGTGTGCTTATATTTGGGTGCACGTTAAAGAACCCCAGGTGGTCAAAATTTCCAGAGGCCTCCACTATGGCGCCTCTCATAATCATACGGTGGTTTTGGGACATTAAACCCCACAAATCAATCAATCGGAAGGCCCTGTTAACAATATGAGGGGGGCCCCTCGAGCCTCGCCACATTTCTATCCCGCTTTATTATCTGGTCACGCTTGAGACTTGACGCTTTTTAGATTTAGCTGCAAATAACACAAGGCATTTATTTAAAGCCTCCCTAGAGTGTTTTTTTATTACCTGGGCATTTTATTTTTTGTGGAGCACGTGCAGAGATTAGAGAGCTTCAGTATATCGGAAGACGCTTACGTAAGCGTTAGCGTGCGTCTCAGCACTGACGCTAAAACGAAACGTGCTGCCTGCTAAGTGGTGACATTCTAGTACAGCGGTAGGCATTCCCGCAAACAAAAGCACCTATGGCGCCATCAAGTTATAGAAGCATTATATGCAGTGTAGAAACCTCAAGTGCAACACTAAATTCAGTTGACCCAGAGTCACCATTGCTGCGTACAGTGCCGCGTTTGATCAAGTGTTGCGTCTGACGGTCCGAAACAATTTGTTTTCTTTCGACATATGCCGAAATCGAGTAAGTCTCAAGACCCCTATTACCTGGCTCAGCTTGAATTATGGCTGCATTTGCCCCATTTCAAAACAATTAAGGAGTACAGCGTCGTCATCTCTGTGTTGCTACGGAAAGCATGAGTGAACCTTGTAGACACTTTGAAGCCTTCTGCACCCCAAATTGAGTGCGTATCTCCAAAAAGTAGTTCTCTTAGCTGCGGTATACCGCTGCCGAAGCCTCATTACTCAAATTTAAATCAAACATGACTAGTGTTTGGTAGTGAATGAGTTTAGCAATACAGGATGACGACTATAAGATTCGAAGTAGACGGCTCTCGCTACAACAGGCACCGCCATCTTGTCCTACGTATACGGGATCTTTTGTGTACGTTATCATTGGACGCTATATGCCAGAAATATCGTTCGTATGCAAAAGTGCGGGCTAGGTTAACGTTCTGCACATGCTCAGTTTAGAGCACGTAACGCAAGTGTTAACGCTAAATCCTTGAGCTCGCTGTTTTCCGCTATACTAAGTCTCTCTATTGTCATTGTGATAATTACCAATATCAGGAGACGCAAAGACATGGACAGCATTATATTTGTCTGGTTCGTGAGATCCTACTAATAGAAAGCTAAACTGTGCGAGAAGTTAAGACGAAAAGAAGGAATGCGTACCGCACTTAGTAGTGCAGTCCAAGAGCCGTGTGATTTTCTTCCGTTCGTCTTAAATCATAGCGTTGTTTACTCTTATTTCAAGAGAGCAAATAGTTCTTCAGGCGGCACCTTTGTGAAAAATAGCTCCCTCTATCTGATTCAGCTTCACTGATCAGATAGTGCACGCTTTGGTTGTCTGCGTGCGAGCACTAAGATAACAGGCGGGCCTTTGTCAGAAACTGTTCACGCGTACTTACAGTAATTACGCTGCCAAACGTCTACCTACTTTTGTTTTATACAGCAAGAGACAGTTAAGCTGTTCTAAAGCTGAACTTCGATATAAGCTATTATGCATATTGCATATGCCTACTGATCGCAGGTAATACAAATGGTTTAAACTTCAAGTATTTTCATTAGAAGAAGGGCTTTCGGAAAAGGTGGCGCCTATATAGATGAGATCTATGTACAACTTTTACAAAACGTTTTTAATAATGTTCACTTGAAAAATGACCACAAATATTTTCATTTATGCAGAAATCGTTCGCTATTAGGCATATAATAGGGTTACATTTCTGCAGTTATTGTTTGCTGACGGCCAGGTAGTGGATATGTGTTGTATATAGTTCCTTCGCACAACCTTTACCAAGGGATGGTTCTTGAGCGCAATTTTAGAAAAGAAGGATGGCTTTACGCGAAGAAAAGCTGGTTAATATTGTTCGCAGTGTACTGTAGTAGCGGCTACTAACTTTTTGTTGACAATAAATTTATTAGCCATAATCATATTTGTAACTAAAAGTATTCGCCTAATTATCAAAATGTCAGCGAGGCAGATGTGCGTTTGCCTGAATGATATCTGTCTGTGCTACTTTCAGCAACGTACTAATTGCTTGGTCATTTTTTTTCTCTAAGTAAAGAAAGCCCGTGAGATACGAAAAATAACACGAGACTAGATCAATGCATGCATCAGAAAGAAGCCCCTTAAAACAAGTTCGCTTTGAGAAAGTCAGTACCAGTGAAGGAAATCTAGAAAAAAAATCACAGCATATCCACGAGGTGAATGATGACGTGTGGAGCGAAACAAATGAAGTTACGGACGCATGGACGGATGCATAGACTGACGCATGCACGGACGGCCACACAGACGGACGTATACGCAGGTGGACACGCAGGACAGAGGGACTGACGGACAGACGCACGGAAGCACGGACAGACTGATGGACGCTTCACCCCACTCATCGTCATTCACTTCGTGGATATGCTGAGACACCTTTTTTATTGACACGCAATGCAATGCAACTGGCTACGAAGACTACGACGACTACGACCACACGGTACATACAACCCACGAAATAAAGAGCCTCACCCCTAAAAGACGGATCACGCTATCTTCCGCTTCCCGTCCGAAGAAACGTACAGTCAGGCTGTAATCGCTCTAACAAGAACAGTCAACAAGCCGCGAATAGTTGGCGCGAGATGTGAATGATGACAGCGACCTACAGTCAAGTTGAAGTAACCCCTGCAAAAGTGCAACACATGTTGTTGGTACCCAACCCGTGCACTTGCCAATGTGCAAAACGCCGTCTCTGGAAACGGAAAAGAGGCGAAGTGGTTGCTTCCAGTGAGACTATTTGAAGGGGCTGCTTTCTTTTGCGGGGGTGAGCACAGTGACGAGTTAACTTTCATATTTCGCGGGCTGTCTTTATTCACAAAAATGAGCACGTAATTAATGAAATGTTCGAAGTATTGATTGATCGATATGTAGGGTTTAACGTTCCAAAACCACCATACGATTATAAGAGGCGCCGTAGTGGAGGACTCCGCAAATTTTGACCACTTGGGGTTCTTTAACGTGCACCCAAATCTGAGCACACGCGTGCCTACAGCATTTCCGCCTCAATCCGAAATGCAGCCGCCGCAGCCAAGATTCGAACCCGTGACCTGCGGCTCAGCAGCCGAGTACCTTAGCCACTAGACCACCACGACGGGGTAATGTTGGAAGTCACACAGACAGATGTAATTTCAAAATGTGCACATCTGCCTCATTGACATTTTGATAATTAGGCGAATAGTTTGTGACTTACAAATACAATTAGTCTAATTGGGCAGCAGTCATTAACCACAATAGTAGCGGCTCCTTCAGTACAGTGGAAATTATATGCACTGGGTTCACTTCAAATAACATTGTTCTTCCTTCTTTTTAAATCATGCTGCCAGATAATTGGGACGGCATGTATAACCACCAAGCAGGAATTAAGACAGAACGGCAGTGCCAGAAGCGAAAAATCAAATCATTACTCCTTCGGAGTTCTTGCAAAATCAGGAAGTTCCATGCCATACAAATGGTTCATGGAGCGTTGTTTATATTATAAAGAAAGCATACCATAATATACCTACGCATTAGCTTAATATCGGTTATTATTTTCACTCAGCACTTTAAACAATATTTCAAGCAGGAACCACCATGTGCCTTCGCATTGCGCGTTGGACCATAGCTAGTTAAATCTTTGTCAGGATGCTATATGTCTCCATCCGCTGGATTAGCCCCTTCTTTCTACATGGTATTGCACGAGTGAAAGGTAACCACAGGCTGGAGAACTCTGAGCTAACAAGATTATGCACGTTATTCAACCAACAACCTCTCAGAAGGATGTATATTGATCATTGAAAAAGATAGTCTGTTTATATTACAGGAATCTAGCATGAGGGTCAAAATTTTTCGAAGAAAACAAAATATGTCATTTTTTCTGGCCCTTGGGCGGCCCCCGAACACCGGAGGGCCCGGTTCATTTGAAGCCTTTGAACCCTGGATAATCCGCCCCTGTCTGCAGTGAGCAACGAGTGAGAGGCTTACGAATGTTGACGCGGGTGGTGCCGTTGAATCCACCAAGAATGTAGATAATGTCGTTGTGGGCGAGCATCTTGTGGCCACTGCGCTTCCAGGGCAAGGACTTCACTTGGGTCCACAGGTCGGTCGACGGGTCGTAAAACTCTACAGTGTCCAACACCGCGCGACCTGTGAAGCCGCCCGCACTGCGATAGAATGTGTTATCGTAAGCGTCAGGATTATCGCCCCCACAATCACCATCAAGACTGACTGTGCTTTATTTAGGGAAAAAGCCAACGTCCATGTTTTTACAAACAACCCGGTTGTGTGCTGCTCCAGCCACAATTACTGAAAACGTTTCTTTTTCATCTGCCAAACTAACTTTCTGGCTTCCACGCGGAAGCTACATGCCATGAATACATGCCACGCTCATGATGTGCTCGCGACCGTTTTCGCTAGCGTTACATATACCAAATTTGGTATTACTGAATGTGAATGGATGACGAAGGTGTATGACAAGTGCAAACATGATAATCATGGCATGCGTGTCATGTAACAACATGACTACTTGCCGCGCTCATGATGCCCGGGCGGCCGTTTCGCTAGCTTCACTTATACCATGTTTGGTATTACGGGACGTGAATGGATGACGAAGGTATGATACTGGTGCAAACATGATAAACATAAGATGCATGTCATGTAACAGCATGACTATATGCTACGCTCATGTTGCGCTCGCAGCCGTTTTGCTACCTTCACATGTACCAAATTTGGTATAACGAGACGTGAATAGACGAAGAAGATAAATTACACGTACAAACATGATAATTATGATAGGCGTATGATGTAAGACATTTTTTACATTCTGCGCTCATAGAGTGATCGTGGCCCCTTCGCTAGCCACGTATACCAAATTTGGTATTACGTGACCGTGATGAACGACGAAGGTAAGTGACACGTCCAAACATGATATCATGATATGCGGCCATGTAAAAGATGACTGCATGCTACGCTCATAGAGCGCTCGCGCTAGCACCACATATACCGCATTTGGCATCACGTGACGTGATTAGAAGACGAAGGTGAATGACACATCTGAACATGACAATCATGACGTGTGTGTCATGTAAAGTATGACTAGATGATATGTGTATAGCGTGCTTGCGGCCGGTTCGCTAGCTCCAGATATACCAAATTCGGCACCGCATGACGTGAATAAACGGCGAAGCTAAATGAAGCGTTCAATTGTGATAATTAGGACATAGGAAGTTATGTACTGTATAATTCATGTCCACCTCATAAATCTGTGGTGATTTCAAAGTGACATATCAAACTTCCTCACTCGTGCTTCGCATATCTTCTATCAGTACGTGGGATATACCGAGTTTTTTTATGTATGAACCGTAGCGAAGAGGAGCAGATTTATCAACACTCTAATGCAAAATTACTCGAAAAAGAAGTAACGGAGTCCAGTAGGCGCGCGCGATGAATGGATGAACCGTTGAGAACTAACCACAGAGGGATGCGTTCCGCGTGCAAAACACTTAGTCTCCAAAGGGATGAACCACGTGGGAGGTACACAAACCACTGTCGAGGGTGGTGGTGGTGAAAACATTTAATAACCATTAAATGGTTACAGAGAGGTGATTGGGTTGGGGCCTTATTGGCCTCCTACCCTCACAGCACTAGGTGGAACCCCTATTCCGGGGCTCCACTGGCAAGCAACGCCGCCCGCGCACGTTGAACCAGAGCCTCTTGGGCCTTCAGGTCTTGACAGCCGAGCAGGGCCGCCTCCAAGTCCTCTCTCGTGGGATTGGGGTTGGGGGGGATAGATGGATTAGACTGGCACGCCCAGACGATGTGAAAGGTGTCAGACACCTCACCACAGAACTGGCACGTGCCATCAAAGGATGAATTGAAATGTTTTAGCACCGCCGGGCACAGTACAGTATTGGTAAACAGTTTTAAAAGGAGGCGCTCGTCAGCGCGATGCAGTCCCTTACAAGGGTCTGGATAGCGCCGGTGCTCCTCCTTGTAGTAATTGGTAATATCTTTGAATGAAAGGGCCGAATTGTAAGCCGTCCTTCTCTCCCTTCGCTTAGTCTTTCCCTTTATTTTGCTGGTGATGGTGTGTGTTCCATCGCGCTCAGAGAGCTTGACGATCTAGGGATTAAAGCACTGCACGGGCCGTTTTTGTTGGGCCCAAGCCCTGCCCAGCCCAAAAACATTCGGCTCCGGCCCGCCCGATCCCGGCCCGGTGTTTTCAAATACTGGCTGTACCCGGCCAGGGCACTAAACGCATGAGCCCGGTCCGCTTCAGCAAGTTTTGCCTTGAATATAAACGTGCCACTGTCCAGTCTTCGGTTATTGTGAAGATATCTTTCTCACTCAAGATATATTATAGTTAATGTTTTGAAACTTCTTCAAGTGTCGCGACGTTTTACAGGCATACTCTCTGTACGTTCAGTTAAAAACGCACATAACACTTTTGAAAAATGTTTGCAGGGTAATATAAAACATAATTGTAGTCATAGCTGGCTGCCTCATGTACGCAGTGCTAACAACACAATGTTGTTTTTGAATTTAGAAAAACAATTACAAGATATACTGCCCCCATGAAGTGAAGAAATGTCGGGCCTTTATATTGTGAGTCTACATAAATTGCACGCGAGCGTAGAAAGTAACAAATCTCCGGCAAACTTCATTGAGTATACAACGCAATAAAAAAAAAAAACGCTCTAGCTACTTCTGGGAGGAATACACCAGGCTGGACAGCGTTACATAAATTAAAGCTATCGTGTTGGCTTCTCGCTTGTCTTTAACGTACACTGCGTTTTCGAGCTTAATGCAAGGAGGTTATTTTCCCCATCCTTATTCTCCGAGTCGCCGCCACCACAGTTCCATATTCTGTCAAAGCGACCCACACCGGTAGCAAGCGAGCCACCATCCTTGTTGTTCTCTGAAGACGCCTATTTTGTCATTTTCACGTGACGGCCTTCGATCTTTGAAATTGTTATGTCCTTGTGGGAAAATCTTTGTGGAGCCTTTATTTACGCTTAGCGTAGTGCCGTCTATAATATGGCATGCATTCAAACACTCCAAAAACAAACAAGCCTCTGCCCCACTACCCTTCTTCGTCTCTTCAGTTTGTGTCACGCGCAAGTTTCTCCCACCACGACAATTTCACTAATCTTTCCCTAATATTCTCTGCAGGCAGCCTTTTACAGTCCGTGTCATCCTTTCACAAATTCTCCCTACAACAAGTATGACGTTACAATTTTCACCCTAATTGCACGAGTTTAAGCGAAATTTTATAATAACGTGTTTCAGAAGCCTGTGACTTCAGTTCATTACTATCTGTCATGAGCGTTAGTTCCTCATCAGAATATAAAATCTGCACGATAAAACGACAGAAAGCCTTCACAGATGCGTTAGCTTCAATGATACTTCAAATGTGTGCACTGTTCTAACAGGCACACATTTAATGACTTTCACGGTAGTCTCCTCTCGCAGCCACAGGCACAATGTTGACATTGCTGACTTGAAGCAGCTTCGATCGGGACATACTGCTTTTTTTGAAAGATGTAGTTGCTGATGAACCATTGCAGTCTAAATCGCGTGCATGCATCAAAATAACAGCACACTTGTTTAACACGTGGGTGACATGTTAGTGACCAGAACAGTTTACATAGCCCCGTGAGAGTGCCATCAACGCCACCATCACGACGGCGCTGATGCATGTCATCCGCATTGAGGCGTGCGTAATGCTGGTATTTCGGCAGCTATTTAGGTCAGTTGCCACCTTCTGGAGCTATCACGTTGTCGAAGGGAGAGCTGACGCCGAGGGCCTGTCTTCAACTGCCTGTTCAAGTTGGAAATTTTAAGGTACTTTTCTGCTCCTTCGAAGAGGTGCTATAAACAGCTGTGGTTCTTATCGTACCTGTTTCGCCGATTATTTCTGACAGGTCATCAGTGGTGATCTTCTTCACATGTCCGTTTTTCTTGTGTGACTTCATACTTTGTACACAAGGATGAACTGTTCTTTTCTTCAAAGAAATGGCAACACTGCCATGATACTACGCTGATGTCTATGGCAGCGCAACTTCATCGCAACCATTTCGGAAATCGATGGCTTCTTTGAACCCTCTTATGTCGATGTCTTGCTTCGGGCACGTCTTTCCTGCCGTACAACTGGTATCTAACTCTGAAGGCCCTTGTGACGAGTTAGAGAAGTTCTTCTCCTGAAAGACCTCTGTTCGCAGGACGCAGATGCGAGAGCTCGAATACTGCCGACTTTGCTCCTAGACTGATATATGGTCCTTGAAGAGGCCACTTCGTTTTCGTGTTAACGGGGAAACACTCTGTTATCCGACACTCAATGAAGTTCGCTCTCAGTTGGCATTACTTGCCGCAATCGGCCTGACCCAATCAGAAGGCTTACTGCGGTTGCACAAGGGACGCTTTGAAAACAACTGCATCCGCCAATGGTTTAACTTCTGTGCTGATGACTTCGTGAAGTACAATTCGTCATTGAAGATTCACAGATGTCGCCGCAGATGAAATGAATGACGGCCGCTTCTATCTGGCACAAATTTCAGCAGTAATTACGGAAACTGAAACACTGCACTTTTATTCAGTGGAAATCGTTAGTCGAGTCAAATGGGTGAATGAAAATTTCTTCCTACGAATAGTCTATAGCCACTTTGAAGTTTTCGAAGGGTGCACCTACTGGTAATCACAGCGGAGCGATGAAATTCGCCTAATTTTGCCCAGTGAAACCAAAATTAACGCGCTGATTGAGAAGGTAATTGTTTTAAATTGTGCAACATTTTAGTTGTTTTAATTTATTTCTGTATTTATTGTTTATACACATCTGAAGATGCATTCGGTCAAAGTATATAAAGGCAACGTCCGCATGTAGCATGCATATGGCTTCTTTTTGTAATTTCAAAATAATATAGGACACATTTCTTAACACTCTACATATGATACCCGGGCCTGATACGGGTCTTACTCAGGCCCTGGCCTAACCTGAGCCCGAAGCTCATGGGCCCGAGCCCTGCCAGGGCCCGTGGGTTTTCGGGCTGGCCCGGGTCGTGCAGTGCTCTACTAGGAATTGCGCCGCGGGGCTTTGTGCGTACGTTTGGATGAGCGTGCGCTTCTGCTCTTCACGTTTCGCCGCACCCATGAAGTCTGGAGCAGGTCT